GCCTGTATCACGTGACCACTTTACTGCACTGCCATTGGTGGAATTTCTGGTCAAGTAATACGGACGTAAAAATAATATTATGAATGAAATCTATTGAAAATAGAAACAACAAATATAAAAGTAAACCTAAATTACAATTAGCTTTCTCTGGGATATCATCTTTTTCAGATTGGTTGCTGTTTTTCTGAGCATGGTCTGTTTAAACCTACTATTTCTATACGAAATTGTATATATATGCATTTTCGTACAAGTTTGAAACAGCTTTATATCAACTCTCGAGTTAGGAACTTCAGATAGGCGTCTCAAGGGTCTCGATAAAAAGCTAAAGTGATTAGCTTTCAGCCTATACCCCCTTTCATTTTTCCTTTACTGTCCCTTTAAAACTTAGTTTAATGTTCGAATTCAGAGCAAACAATAATATTGAACTATATAGTTTAACTTTAATGTTCGAATTCAGAGCAAATAATATAATATTGAAACTATATAGTTTAACTTTAATGTTCGAATTCAGAGCAAATAATAGTATTGAAACTATATAGTTTAACTTTAATGTTCGAATTAAGAGCAAATAATATAATATTGAAACTATATAGTTTAACTTTAATGTTCGAATTTAGAGCAAATTATAATACTGAAACTATATAAATTAACTTTAATGTTCGAATTCAGAGCAAATTATAATACTGAAACTATATAGTTTAACTTTAATGTTCGAATTCAGAGCAAATAATAACATTGAAACTATATAGTTTAACTTTAATGTTCGAATTCAGAGTATATAATATAATATTGAAACTATATAGTTTAACTTTAATGTTCGAATTCAGAGCAAATAATAATATTAAAACTATATAGTTTAACTTTAATGTTCGAATTCAGAGCAAACGATAATATTGAAACTATAAAGTTTAACTTTAATGTTCGAATTCAGAGCAAATAATATAATATTGAAACTATATAGTTTAACTTTAATGTTCGAATTCAGAGCAAATAATAATATTGAAACTGTATAGTTTAACTTCAATGTTCGAATTCAGAGCAAATAATAATATTAAAACTATATAGTTTAAGTTTAGTGTTCAAATTCAGAGCAAATAATAATATTAAAACTATATAGTTTAACTTTAATGTTCGAATTCAGAGCAAATAATAATATTAAAACTATAAAGTTTAACTTTAATGTTCGAATTCAGAGCAAATAATATAATATTGAAACTATATAGTTTAACTTTAGTGTTCGAATTCAGAGCAAATAATAATATTAAAACTATATAGTTTAACTTTAATGTTCGAATTCAGAGCAAATAATATAATATTGAAACTATTTAGTTTAACTTTAATGTTCGAATTCAAAGCAAACGATAATATTGAAACTATATAGTTTAACTTTAATGTTCGAATTCAGAGCAAATAATAATATTGAAACTGTTTAGTTTAATGTTCGAATTCAGAGCTAATAACCAAATTTAAACTATATAGTTTAACTGTTACAGGTTTCACTACTCCCCCCCCCTCTCCCTTTCCTTTTCAAGAATTTTGACCCTTCCTGTATCAGCAGACCGGAAACCAATGTAGGCAGGTGGTAGCCAGGTGCAGGTAAGGGGAGGGTAGGTGGAATTTGAAAAAAAGGGGTGGGGTAGATAGGGTTATGATAAGAAGAGGATGAAAGATCAAAAGGTGGCTCATTAAACACTCATGTTTCCTGTATTGAAAGCAGAGAGCAAATATATGGAATATATTTATAGATAGATAGATAGATATATAGAGGATATAGATATATGTACAGGGTTATCCAAGTCGATTTAATTATGACAGCTTACAATGTACATCGCACAACATTATATTTATATATATACAGATTACAGATATACAATCCGATACGATGAATTTTAGTTTTTAATTTGAAATAAGCAGAAGAAAAACATTACTTAAATAAATCGTCGTAGTTAATACAGTTTAACCCCCCCCCCCCCCCCTTCTGCCGCTATCAACATCGTATAAAAACATGTTGTTTTTAAACTACAATATTTAATCTTAAAGGCAGGGTGCAGTATCTCCCAGACTGTTTATCTATTTATTCAGGTCTCTTCTCTTCATATTTTATCAATATATTTTAACACAAGGAGTTAGGAGTTTATCTAAAAATTTGAAGAAAAAACCAGGAACCCAAGTTAAGTTCTAGCTTTTTTTGTAATCTTTACTTAAAGGGAATTTCAACGAAATTTCAAGCGATCTTGTAAAAAAAAGATTTAAATATTTGTTGCTTGCATTTACCTTCACCTTCATTTTAACACAAGGGGTTTATCTGAAATCTGGGATAAAAAAATCAGGACTCGGGCTGGCACTGGATTTTCGAACATTCCTGGTATATATGAAAATGTCGTCTTCATGATCAAAAATCGAAGAAACAGGAATAAATGTTTTCAAACGTGACTCTCAGATCATAAAAAATGAAAAAAATACTATGAAATATCAACTTTACACGAATGCGTCGAAAAATTATCGATGATTATAGGTTGTAATATCTGAATGATTTGTTTGGAATTCACTTGATTTTGATTTTTTGACGATTCAAGTCGTATGTTGTAACTTTCTTAATTTGTATGGACGCTACGTTCTTCACGCGGAATGATTCTTTTTTAAAAATTTTCTCCTATAGACGCAACAAAATGAAGTAAGATAGGTAGTGATCACCATCGATAATTTTTCGACATAAGCTTACCCCCTTTCATTTTTTGCAAACACTCCCTTTAATATTTTAACAATAAACAAATATCTATTTTCAGACAAAGAAGCGAAGATATGCTGTGTAAAAGTTCGGATTTCATTGTGAAACAGGTATTCGGTAAGAAAATTGTTGACAAAAGTCGTCTTGTAGCCTGTAGGGCATTTTGATCTTGTGTTCGGCCCAGTCTATTTAATGATAATGAGAGTAGAAAACTCCAGGAAAGCTCATATGTAAATATGGTCCCCAAAAAAGATGAGACTTCAAAGACGACAGTACAAAATTAATTCTTACATTACTTTCAAATAATTCAGTATATACCAGAAAATAAAGTTCAGTCCTCGAATTGTTATAACTTAATGGTTTTAGGTCGTCATTAATATCTTATCCTTTGTAACCCTGTAGGCTGTGTCTACAATTTACGATGATCTATTAGGACAGGAGCTACAGGAGCTATAGGTTCCAAATTTGAATTTAATCAGCCCAAACCATTCCTCGTAACCAAGTTCTCTGATGCTTACTAAACCACTAGAGAAAAATGTAAACAAATTACATCAAACCTTCTCCAAATCTTCTTGGTTGTTTGTATACTCTCATTGTTCTTTAATGCACTGCCTCTGAGTGGTATTATAGGGACTGTAATCGTAATTTTAAGTGTTACACGTTAAATTCACAACTATACCTTGAACAGTTGATCAGACCAACCATGAGGAAGAGATTAATCATTAGTTTTCAGATGGAAAGTCAAGGATATCTTATTTATTTTTCGCAGGCGGGGTTTAAAAGGTACCACTGTGAATTGGAAATTAAATTTGGAAACTCTAAAATTCTGCAGCATATAACTACAAATCTCTTAAGCAAAGAAAATGAAATAAACATTGCTTCAGCTAGAAAAACTAGAATATCTCATTCTTTCATGATAAAACAAAGGGTACTTTTGTGAATCTGAAATTCGACTCCGAAAGTTGAGCCCACTTGCAATAACGGCAACAGTCCCTTTAAGATATTAATTAGCTGTTGAAATGCATGGTTGCACTGAAAGAGATAGATCTTTACTAGAGTCTATAGGAAATCAGTGGAAACATAAAGGAAATGAGATCCAAAGTACAGTTTTAGGAAAGGTTTATTTACAGGGTTACCCATAAAGTATCAGACTAGGAGGATACTTTCCTGTTTATCTGGTTCTACCGATAAACCTCTTGAAACGTATCTGGAGAGGGGATGGAAAGGAATGACCGCTATCTACCTATCTAGGGTACTGAAAGAGTTCTCACGTAAAAGGTTTATTCTACTTAGACGATAAATTCTCCAATTGATCTAAAATATATTTGTGAAATATAAGCGACAGTTCGCCACCTAACCCTAGAAATGACTCAGAAACACAGATGTGCACTGTGGATCTAAACTTACTGGATTCCATGATATCTTGATATCATTGAGAGCAAACCTTTCGGATGATAACCACACTCCTGTATGCCGAGTTCGTTAGTGTCTGATCCAATCAGGGTTGAGTCATGTGTTTGTTGAATATTCTGAACCAATAGAAATAGTAAGGTGGTAACATATCTCTTTCTATCTATCTCATTATTCAATCAGAGTTATGAATCCTTCAATTGGCGAATCAGTAATTGGAAATATTTACTTCTACTAAAACCATAGTGACCAGTCTGAAGATTCAGGAGTATCAGCAATTGACTCATCAGATTTAAATGGTATTTTAAATGCCTCAGTTCATGCTGTGAAAGTTCACGCTGAAAAATTGGACGATTTACAATCTCATATTCAAAACTCCAATATACAACCTTACTTGAGAAAAGAATTAGAGCTCAGGAAGATGAGTTATATGACTCGAAGCGAGGAATAAAGGGGAATCTGCTGATGACAAGTATACAAAACTAGGAAAGAAGGAAAGATTGTCTTATCAGATTAGACGAGTAATTTAAAAAAGACTCTCACAGAGCATGTCATAAAATTGGTTCAGCTCAAATTTGATGTTACAATTCTAGCGAATGACATCCAAGCTTGTCGCAGTCGCAGAGTTAATAAATCTGTTCTCATTCATGTCTGGAACCGTAAAGAAGGGTCAGCTTGGAGCAGGATTAACGAAGGTATAAAATCACGAGTCAATCCTGATTTAAATGCAAAGTTTAAATATCAACTGACCAACTGAAGATCTGGTCTACGGGCGAGGTTCGTCAGCTCAAAAGAGAAAAGAAGATTTCCAACTACTACACAGATGAAAACAGCCAAATACAGATAAGGAAAATAAACGGGAGTAAAAAATTCAAGTCAACTTTTCATTCTGGTCCAAATTTGAATGCTGCTTCGAAAGCAATCATGTCTTAAGAACTGCATAATCTAGAAAACAACTGAATAAATTCTATTCTAAACTTTAATCTAAAACATATTATAACTAGATTACAGGGTGACCAGAATCAGGATTTTAGAAATACTTTAAGATTGTTAGAAACATTGAATAGTTTTTCTGAAATAGCATGTAAATATTATGATACTGAAGATTTTTTAAAAAAGTTTAAAAATCGCTCAAAATATTTCTCATCTCTTTCTTTAAACATTCGTAGCTTATCTGGGAAATTAAAAGAATTCCATGAATAGATAAATTTGTTCTATAATTTTGATTAGGGAATATTGCTGTCAACCTGAATATAGATATACCTGGCCGGGTATAAACCTCTCATTTATAAAACAAGAAAGCCTAGTGATAAGTGTAGAAATAATATTGGAGTTGTGGTAAAGATAACACACAAAACTCTTAAAAGAGATTATGCCAAATATAATATCTCCTGTAGTTCATATTTTTAATTTATCCTTGATATCAGACTACATTCCTGAAAGCTAAACATCTTGAGGCGTATTCAGGGGGGGCTATGGGGGCTCAGCCCCCCCTGAAAAAGTTGAGGCTTTGATTTTCAGGGGATTCAGCCCCCAACGGAGGCTGAGCCCCCCCCACCCCCTGTTAAGAAGTGGCCAATTATAATGATATTAATATCGTTTGATTTTAAATTTGGCGAGAATGCACATTCATTCTGAAAGACTGTCTAAGGTGTCAGAGACGAGAGTTCTTGATATTTTTTCCTTAAATTAGCCTCGAAGACTGGAGACTAAACGTCTTCAGGATTTTGTTGGTAGAAATAACAACTTTTTCTTCTTAAGCCATTATAGAATTTTTTTATTTTTTTAAAACATGATCTCAAAAAGTATCTTATACATGCTAAGGACGCATGAAGAAGTAAATCATCTTAGTCTCAATCTTACTATTAACTATTAACATTAACTTTGGTCCCTGGACTCTGGAGTAAAAACTAATGAGAAATTAAATTTTTTTGCATTTGCTAGTTTATCGCATTCACAATTAAACTCATTTTATATTATTGAGTTAAATTTAAAGAAGAAACTGTTGTTATTTTTTAAAGGTTAAATATCTAATTTTCTTAATTCAATATTTAGTATTATCATGATCTGTATTCTGTGATATATGTAAATTAACTAAAGGAGTTGGTCACTCAGCACCAAAGGGGTATATCCTTACAGATCATTATTTTTACATCTAGTTTTTTCTAAAGAAAGTCCAGTATATCACTGAATGGTGTTCTGGCCAGGATGTACCTTGAAAAGTGCAGGGGCGCAAACTGTTGAAAAAAAGGGGGGTCGATAGGGTGCTATTTTCGGAAATAATGATTCAAATAAAATGATATTTCAAACTATTTTTATTTGGACCAAAACTAATACATTTATGTTGTTTTGGTTTATTTCAGGGCTCCAGGGGCGTAGAAATAAGGCTTCAAAGTTTTGCAAGGGATATCTGCCTTATTTATAATTATTTTGAACACCCTATCGACCCCCCTTTTTTTCAACAGTTTGCGCCCCTGCACTTTTCAAGGTACATCCTGGCCAGAACACCATTCAGGGATATACTGGACTTTCTTTAGAAAAAACTAGATGTAAAAATAATGATCTGTAAGGAAGATATACCCCTTTGGTGCTGAGTGACCAACTCCTTTGTAATTTCTTATTTTTTGAATATTAAAATGTCAAAATTCTTTCAGAAAATTCATTGTAGTTAATTTTCAGAAAACATCTGCTGGTTTAGGTTAGTTTTAGCAATTCAGTTCAAATTGTTCCTGGGGGGGCTGACCCAACAAATTTGTAAGCCCCTTCCTGGCCAAAATCCTGAAAACTCCCCTGGACGGCCAAGGTATATCTCTTTACAAATCAGGAGTAACTTCAGAATTTACGAATTATTGACCAATAGGCTTATTATCCTTATTTTCAAAACTGTTAGAAAAACTTAAAGCTCATCAAATGTTTAAGTACAATATTTTGTATTCTCATCAATATGGATTTTTAGATAAAATAATTGAAGGAGTGAATAAAGACAATCCTGAATACACAACTGCTATTTTTCTAGATCTGAAAAAAGCATTTGATATTAGATTATTAGATTCGATTAAAGAAACTTAATCACTATGGGTTCAGGGATAAACTAATAATCTATGGTTAGAAATTATCTTACAAATAGAACTCAATACATAAGTGAAAGGGATTTTGAATCTTCCAGCAAGGAAATTTTATGTGGTGTACCCCAGGATTCAGTTTTAATTCCTATACTATTTCTTCTTTACTTCTTTCATGACAGCAAATCATGAACTTTCTAAAGCATCTTTGTTGGTTTCAGACTAATACGCTAACACTTAATATTTCAAAAACCAAATATATTGTATTTATAAATAAATCCATGTCATTTGATGATCAGGGCTTTAATCTCAAAATAGGAAATGAAATTATTGAAAGAATATGTTCAACTTACAAACATAAATATTTCAAGTTTGTCGGTGTAAAATTTGACGAATTTTTGAAATGGAATTATCAAATAGATGGTATTTTTGCTAAACTATCTAGTGCAATTTTTGCCCTAAAAAGTGTTAAAAAGATTCTCTCTTTAAGCATAAGAAAGATAGTTTAATAACACCTCAATGACAGTATGGTATTTTAGCGAGGGCCGCTCATCAACAAACAATAAAGTAGGAAAATTATTTAAGCTTTAAAAGAAAGCAATACGGACTTTTTAGATAAAGAATATTCACAGCATACAGATCCAT